ACTCCGCCGCTTGTGTGATCAGTGCCTGTCTGATCATTTTCTGACCTGTCAACACCACGGCTGGCTGGCTACCAATGAACAGCCCGTAGATTGACCCATAGCGCTGAGCAAACTGCACAAAAACATTCATGTTGAAGACCACAGACTCACATCAGCATGTTTTTGCTGTCATACTTTATGAAAAAAGTCTGATTTACTTTCATCACTTGTTTCCAGTAACCCATTCAATTATTTCAGTGTGAATTTCCTACCAATAATAATGTATTTTGAATGCAGCAGTCTCCAGTGTGTGTTTGAGACTGATGTGCTTACCTTGTCAAAGTCCTTTAATGGGTTTGTGCGGTCCAATTGAAGCAAATTTCCAAAAAACAGAACAGGAGTGGGTCCAGGGGGGAAGTTTTTGGGTCGCCGAATTCTAAACTGCAAACACAGAAGAAAGGCTCCGAGACACAACAGAACAAGTGCGGTCAACATGGTTACTGATCTACTGGACGGCCCGTCTGAAACCTGCTATTTAATGCAGACAGAGAACTGATACGCATGCTCACAAAACCCCTTCTTTAAACTCTGCTGAACTTTTTAAACTTCCTTGAACTGGAGTTGGAAAACAGACTATTTAGGTGAAAAGGTAAGCTATAATTAACAATATGGATGAGAAGGTAATGATACTTCCACCAGAGGTCAATGTCACCATGTACTCTTGATAAAGTTGTTCCTAAAGATTCATTATGTAAACATGCATAATAACATTGTCCAAGTTTGTGTAGCATTAACAATTTTTTTGTTTAAATATAAATAATACAAAATATTCTGGTGACCAAAACTAAGCTGTATTTATAGTCTACTGTAGTTTCTTATAATATATGAAGAAATATATGTGTGTTGACTTGTTTTAGTGTTTTATAAGGTGGTGGATAATGCCTCACATGTGAGGCTTTATGATCAGATGTGCTCTTAGAAATGCACAAGAGAGTTTAAAGTGAATTGTATTTTCATAGTACTGAGAATGAAATTATGTTTAATCGGTATCTTTCCAGTTTTATCCTGTACCTACTCCAGCTGAGGCACAACCTCAGTTAAAATGGGATTAAGCCAATGTTCAGATTTTAGCATCAGATATTCTGAAATGAACTGACAACATTTTTCAGAGTAAGCATATTTAACAAATGAAAACTGCAACTGAACACTATACTGAGTTGTGAGTCAAGGTAGGACCACTTTGTACATTGTTCACAACAAATTGTTTTTAGACTTTGCTTTTGGTCTTTGGCTTATCTTGGGGAGATGTTATGTCCCTCAGCATGGGGACTTTTTTTATTTTTATTTTTTACCTCAAAAACCCTTTACTGGGCAGTGACTTGAAAAATTATTTAGGCTATTTAATCATATATCAAGTCTTTTGTGTTAAGATATATGCAATCATCTCAAAAATTCTCGTTTGTTAATTATAAAGGTTTTAAAACTGTTAAACGTGTAAAAACTAACCTCAAAAGCAAATTTCTTTAGATCTCTGGCAAATGACCTCTTGGATAAGAACAATTGTGCAATATATAGTGATAATGACAAACAAGTGTTTGTGTGTTTTAGGAGAAACAAAATCGTTTTTCTTCACCCCGAGGGGCCTTTAGTACTGTTGTACCCTAAAATACTTTTGGTATCTGTTTTAGAGGAAGACTAAAAACCCATTTAAGGTCTAAAAGTGTAAAATGCATAGACTCGGTTGATATGAGCTCTTGTAACGTTTTTATTTGCTCTCAATACTCGAAACGTTGAATACTGTACAGACAAGTTTAATCAAAATGAAGAGCTTTAAATTAGTCGCTGTACTCCTGTACGAGGTGGCGTCAAGTCCAGTTTTATTTTATTTTATTATTTTTTTGGCATCTGTGACGCATTTTCCAAGCGCCGGAAACGTGCTCGCGAACGCTGATGTGTTATTTTGCTTAGGTATTATTTACTATGTGTTTGGTTTTGAAGATTATTCTTTAAAAGATAACCAGATCCGTTCGTTTTTTAGATGCCTAAAGAGAAAGGCGTTATCAGGTGAAATAGTGGCACGAGAAGAAGAACTCCGGGGAGATGGCGGTATGAGACAATATTGAATAGCTATTAAAACAGAAAAATTATTAATAACTGTGTGTCTTTAAATGTATTCATGTGATAACTGTATATTCTAACTAGCGAGATTTTCTGCGTGTCAGTGCTGTCCTGTTAAGTAATATGTCTCTCTTTAGCCGAAAGGAAAAGTTGGAACCAAAGGCAAAAAACAAATTCATGACGAAAACCAGGATACGCTCAAGTTCTATTGCAGAATCATCCTGGGAGCAAACGTAAGGCATGCATCTGAGATTCAGTGTGCCTTTATAAATGTGTTTAATTTTTTTGAATTGATTTATTTGGTGTATTCTTTTCAGGGTATTTATGTAGCAGTCAATCTCTTGCTCTTTTACAATTCGTCTACATTTTGGACATGGGTGAGTCAGAGTATGATGTGAATAAGAGCATCATCATTTAGCATATGTCTATTTTGTGCTTTTGCATTCAGTGGTGTGTGTGAGCAAATCTTACAGATGTTGCATGCATATCTGCTCGTGGCAAATAGACCAGGGGTTTTCAGTGTTTTAGATGTCATGGACCCCCCATATAATTATCTGTATGTGAAGGGCCCCCATTCTAAAATGTATAAGGCAGCTGTATTTTGTATGTATAAAGACCCAATTTATACTGCAGGATTTTTTTTTTTAGTTTGTATTATGTTACACTATACATTTTTTCCCTACTCACTATAATACAGTAATGTAAGGTGTATTACTTATTTAAATGTGTTTATTTGCGTCTTGTTTTTGTATATATTTTTTTGTTTTTGTTTTATACACTTTTGCAACTGCTTTTCTAAACTTTTCTGTGGCCCCTGTAGCACTCCTTTGCAGACCCCAGTTTGAAAAACCCTTAAAAGACAATAGTGCCCATCTGTCCACCTCTAGGGCTTTGCTTATGCTTTATGTAGACCACTGTATATGGGTGATAAATGGGTGAGATGATAATCTTTTGGTGGTTTCCAATCTTTTGGTAAATATTATTCACCTCTCTCTTTGTCTCCTTTGTACCAGTTCTTTCTCCTGTTCGCAGTGGCGGTCTACATTGGTAGCTACAGATCTATGTCAGCAATGGCCAAACCTGCATTTGCTGAAGATGGTAGCTTGCTGGATGGAGGGATTGACCTTAATATGGAGCAGGGCATGGCAGAGTGAGTTGGATGTTTAATCTGTACATTTTTATATGTTATATATTTCCAGACAATGATTAATACTCCTCATGACCATGCCTGACTTGTTTATATTAACATGCAGACACCTGAAGGATGTGATTCTTCTTACTGCTATTGTTCAGGTCCTCAGCACTCTGTCATCTTACTTCTGGTACTTCTGGCTCTTGGTGAGACTGCATAATTGCACTGATTGTAATATCTTTGAGGCTTCACAAATGCATTTTTACTGAAACCATATTATTTTCTTTCTCTTCACACCAGGCACCTGCAAGGGCTTTGCATTTATTGTGGGTGAACTTCCTGGGCCCCTGGTTTTCTGCTGAATCACAGGCAGCCCCTGAAGAGAACGAGAAGAATGACAAGAAACAGAGGCGACAGGAAAGACGACAGATGAAGAGATTCTAGACTTGTCTGTGTTTAATTTTTTACATGTATTATACAATTACAAAGAACATGCAATCTAAATTATTCTGAGATATTTGATATGACAGGTTAGTCCAGACAATAGATGGGCATTGTAAAGTGTCTTTGACTTTCTCTCACGTGTCATCAGCTGCTCCGTCCTTTTCAGCACTTTGGTTCCTTTCTCTCACTTTATGTCCATCTTAAAATCTCTAGCTCAGGTATGCCTCTGAGTGGGGCTCCACATGTTTTTTTTTTTTGTATAAATAAAAATAAAACGATATTATAAAGTGAGTGAAACTCACACAAAATGCCTTTGCTTACTATAGTGAGCTTTCATATCATTAGTTTCAGTTGCAAATAAGTACTTTTCAACAGGTGCAGCTACATGACCAATTGACCTCAGCAATTTAGACCTGAGGCTGTATGAGCTTCACCAACCACATGACGTTTCAAAGCACTTGAGTTCAGCTTTTTGAATTCCCTCTTCGGCCTTTCAGAAAATATTGCTGTGATTGTTCAGTATGGGGGAAATCATGTGCTAATTCTGAATCAAAGGTAGTAGTAATCTTTGATATGTGGTATTCCGGTGAAGCTATAGGTGCAGCCTGGTGCTGCCTTAATGGAACGCAAAGTAGATGAAGATAAAAATAATTGACCTTGAGTGGCAACAAAGGACTGTCTGGTTACATATTTTTAACTGTTCAAATGGAACTATACTGCTTTACGAAAGTTAGATGGGTTAGTATCAAGAATAACTTTTAATAAGCATGACCTCACAGTATTGACTGGCCCAACATCAATTTAACATTTCAATGGACTGAAGATATAAACTTGACAACCTGGTTAAAAAAAAAAAGTTCCTTCAGCTGAAATTTATGGAGACCCAGTGATTATAAATAAACTTATAAAATGATGTATTGATGCAAATTTTCTTTTAGATTTATATAATTTCTCAATTCCTGGTTCATTCAGACTCAGTCCTGGATGAGCGAAGGACAGTGGAATGGTTTTTTTGGCCAGTGTTCTTGGGGGCTGTCCCAACAGTACATGCTTTGGATGTCAAACACACCTGACTCAACTCACAAGCTTTTTAGTAGTGTTTTTAAAGACCTGAAATATATTAGATGATAACTATTGAGAATTTAGCAAGAAGTTGTTTTCCGTCGTGATAGCCCCTGGTGCTGCACAATTTGGATGTTTTCCTTGTCAGACCTTCAGATTGGATTCTCTGCTAAATGTCTTAATAAATCATATGTGTTAAACGAAGGCTGCTGCAGAACCAGGATCGAGAACGACTGTATTAATGTGGCCATAGTTCCACTGCGCATGCGCACTTTAAAACGCGCGCACTCGGACCTTTTCTTGTCCTAAACTAATCCTTTTCTCATTAGTTCTGATCTGATCTGTCTGTCGGCAGATTGCAGCCATGCGAGTCCCTATTTAACCCAGACTGACCGTCACCAGCAGAAGGAAGGTAAGGAGAACTGTTGCTAAGCTACCGCTAGTTAGCAACCAATCGGAAACAACATGACAACAGCAAAATTTAAGTATAAAGTGGGTCGATGTTTGTCGGTCGAGTGTGTTATCGTCAACTTTCATCTCATAAATATACGCCAACGGTTTCTGGACTTTAACAGCATCACAGAACAGATAAGACAATCAGGTAAATGTTGGATATTTGTTTACAGTTCAGATGAGTTCGTTAGCCACCTTGCGAAGCTAACTTAGCGGAAAGTTATCCAACAAAAACAAGTTAGAGTCTAACCTGTTACTATGTTTATTAGAATAGCTTAGTAATGCTTTTAACAGAGTTAGAAAGAGATAATGATCGAAAGTAGATTGATCACTTATAAAGTGGTCATTTTCACATAAGTTACAACTGCTAACTTAGCTGTGAGACAGACTCGCGTGGCAAAGTGACTTCAACTGGATATGCGTCGATGATTTATTTAATCTTTCACCAGTTTCGGACTTGATGTAAGTGGTGGAATATGTGTGTGTGCATAAATGTTTTGTTGGTCTAATAAGGTTAGGTTTCAGCCACACGTGAAAGATCATAGTTTGAAACGGCGATACCTGGCTGCTCTTTGTCCATAAACGCCTTGTGTCATGATAAACATGATTTTACATCGAATAACTGCTTTAAGTGGTGTTATTAGCTCAAAAGAACAATATGCATTTACTATTGGGGGTAAGTAACATGACCCCCTACCTGGGACGTGAAGCCACTCCTTGCTGATCTTTGTAATTTTACAATTTACTGAATAATAACTGAATAACCAAGGACAAAGCAGAAACCCAGTGAAAGAATCGTCTGAAATGTAAATTTATTCTGTGACATACTTTGTTCTATGACTTGCACACAGGCAAGAATAAACTAATGTTTAGTTGCCGATATTATAATTAAATAATAGCATAATAAAATAATTTAAAATAAAATAAATCATAATAGCAACACTGATTTAAAATTAAATGTTTACTTAATTAGCCTATAGGGTTTAATGCATATCGATGTCGGAAATGTTCATCTGATTCACGAAACTGAGTAACCTAATGAATTGCAATAAGTATTCAATTAAATAAAATAAAAAATGCACTAGTAACGACATGATACTCAAGTCTTACCACAAAGGTCTAATTTTATTATTTCACTCCAGAAATAAAAACGATTTACTCCGCATATTAAAAAAAACAAACAAAAAAAACATTAGTGTGTACAAATTATTCATTAACTCATAGGCACAAAAACGTTGATGTTCAACATAATACAATGTCCCAGATCAGTATTTTCCAGATACACAAAATTATATCAGTTAACCTTAAAGACCTTTCGACAAAGTTACATAAATGTTGATATTCAGATGAAATGAAGTTAAGAATAACCGAGCAAGTTTTGAGATGTTTGGGTTTTGTAATGGTTCTGTAAAAGCAAGTTCATGAAATGGTTTAAAAAATAACTTTATCTGTGTCTTGCATCTATATCAAATTTGACCCACATTAGCCCAAATCTGACATGTTTTAAAAGCCAGTAAAAAAAAAAATAAATTATTAGATTTTGCCCCTTGCACATTGATGTATTCATGCACTAACTCGTAGCAGAATGTGATCTATCCAAAAGTGATTGAAAAGGGACACCTTTTGGCGAAGTGGTGTGTCCTGAAGTTTAGAGTGATCGTTATGCACAGCATATTTACTCTGCTGTTTGTCTGTCTTTGAATAAATTCTTTCATTTTAACAGATGGACAGAGAAGATAAAGTAATACCGTCGCATCCCTGACATAGGTGTTGGTGAGATCACACGATCATCACGATGGCTCTCACCAGCACCACTATAACATCATGGAAGCTGCGTGAGTTCTCAGCAGAATGTTTTAAATAGTCAGGTTCTTCATTTGAAGTTGTGGGAAATGTGACTGGCTTTTTTTGTCATATGTGTTGTTCAGAGGAGATTGTGGCTCACTCCAGCAATGTGTCTTCACTGGTGTTGGGGAAATCGTCTGGTCGTTTGCTGGCCACTGGCGGAGAGGACTGCAGAGTCAATATCTGGGCTGTCAGCAAACCAAACTGCATTATGGTAAAACCCTCTCTGTTATTTGTTTAGTTGAGAGAATTAAGTGTCTCGCAGCTATTTGATGCAGTGTTTGTCTGTTCTGTAGAGTCTGACAGGCCACACCAGCCCTGTGGAGTGTATCCAGTTCAACAGTTCTGAAGAGCGTGTGGTGGCCGGTTCGCAGTCCGGCTCTCTCCGGCTTTGGGATTTGGAGGCTGCTAAAAGTAAGTGGTTTGTGCTGCAGATTTGCACTTTGGTTAACATAAAATCTACAATAAGAAACAAGGTGATTCTCTTAAAACCAGTAAAGAAAATGTGACGCACAAGTTGATCTCAAAAATCAGGAGAAAGAAAAATTATGGGCTGACTTTTTATTGGGTGTACCTAACTGCTGTATACTTATGTCAAAAATTGTTAGGAAAGACACTTCAAAATTAAAAGTGGGTCTGTAAAATATTGTAATCGTCCTAAATATAGAGTTCATTTTATTTATGGGAAAACTTTCTTTAGAGTTATAGGATAAAATGAGGCAGAAATTGACTTGACAGGCTTTGAGATTCACCCAATCAATCTTAATTGATAAGTAATTGTCAAAAATGTGTCTGCCTACTTTTTTTTTTTTTTTTATTATCTATATATAAATAAACTGAATTGATGTTCTGCACACTCATGGGGCACCAGGCCAGCATTTGCTTTAGAGATGTAGAAAAACAGATATAGTTAAATAGCATTCCTCTAGCTTTCTGGGATGATTAAATGAACCTGTTTGGTGGAAGAGGTCCCGTTGTTATCCTTCCACTCTGATCCTTGAGGACACACAGGGGCCATCTGACCAGAAACACTTTTGAGCAAATTGTTCAGAGTATGTTTATCTATAGCTGAATTCATTTTGTAACACTCCAAAGAGAAAGGAAAACTTGAAATCGCATCAAATGACCCTTTTAAAGCACTTTAGTTTGGAAAGTGTCTCTTATGTTACACATGCACAAGCTCTTAATGAATGTGATGGCCTTGTTTATGTGGTTAATATGAATGTGTCTCTTGGCAGGGTCACACTCAGGCTGTGCGCTGTCTAGCCTTCAGTCCTGATGGGAAATGGCTTGCTTCAGCCAGTGATGACAGCACAGTAAAGGTGAGAGCTGTGCTGTATATCTCACTTTGGGACGTTATCTTGCCTGGATGAATGAAGAGGGATTTTTTTTTTGAATGTGTATGCATATTCTGTTTCCCATTTAGCTGTGGGATCTGATAGCAGGCAAGATGATCACTGAATTCACATCACACACATCAGCAGTCAATGCTGTGCAATTCCACCCCAATGAGTACCTGCTCGCCACTGGGAGTGCAGATCGGTACTAAGTGTTTTGTGTGTGTGTGTGTCTGTGTGTGAGGTTGTGTTTGTCCATCTACAAATAATAAATTAAATGTGTTCATTGCTGCTTTTGCCCATGTTTGTTATCTCTGGCACCCTCTTTATGTGTTTTGTATATTTGCTGCAGGACTGTTAAGCTGTGGGACCTGGAGAAATTCAACATGATTGGCTCGTCAGAGGGCGAGACGGGAGTTGTGAGGTGGTTATCTTTTTTCCAGTCTGGATATGTTTGTTTTTCTCTGTTTGACCCCTAGCTGAATTCTCTGCCTTTTTTCCCTTTTTGCAGGAGTATATTGTTTAATCCTGATGGTAGCTGCTTGTACAGCGGCTCTGAGAACACACTACGAGTGTATGGCTGGGAGCCTGACCGCTGCTTTGATGTAGTGCATGTAGGCTGGGGCAAAGTATCTGACCTGGCCATTAGCAACAACCAAATGGTTTGTACTTTTATATTTAATTTTTTTTTTTTTTTTTAATTTTACATGCAGACATGAGTGGGAGCTGTACTATTTTGTGAACTTGCGTGCCTCTTGCTTTCTGGGATGATTAAAAGAACCTGTTTGGTGGGAGAGGTCCCGTGGTGACCATTTCCACTCTGATCTCTGAAGACGTGCACAGGGGCCATCTGACCAGAAACGCTTTCTGAGAAACTCTTTTGGAGGAAAGCTTTAAAAGGCATTTTAACAGTTTCTATGTGTCATCTGTCTCTTGAATAGATTGCGGTGTCCTACAGTCAAAATAATGTGAACTGGTACATTGTTGATCTCAATCGAGTGAAGAAGTCAGGATCTGTGATCCAAGGGCTGATTGAGGACAAGCCGATCCCAGCTCCCACATCTGCAATGGGAACAACACTAAGGCGGAATTACGAGCGACCCACTACATCCTGCACTGGACAGGAGTGAGATTTTCTTTTTGTCTTTGTCTAATGATGTATGACGCATCTACTCATGTAGACCTTGGAATGTCACTTCTGGAAAAGAAAGTCAGCATGGTGTTTTTACACTCGTTGTAGCTTAAAGGGGTCATATGATGCTTTAATGTTCAAAAAACACATTATTTTTCAAATACTGTACATTTATTGTAGGTCCTCTATGCCCCGCCTCTCTCAAACGCTTCGTTTTCTACAAAGTCCCTCCTTCCGACAAGCGCAGTCTGCTCTGATTGGCCAGCTGACCCAGTGCATTGTGATTGGCCGAACACTGCAAGCACTCGTCGGAAATGTAACGCCCCTTACCATAATCGCGAGCTTCATCTTTCAAAATAAATGTAAAGACGGTAAATAATGTCATTAGTTTTACCATCAGTTCAAGCCCGAAAGGGGAACAGACACAGTAATGATGCAGTACACAAGCCTTGTAACACTCCAAAGAGAAAGGAAAACTTGAAATCGCATCATATGACCCCTTTAAATAGGGCATGGCGTTAACCACTCGAAATGTTCAAAGGGTTCCCAGGGAGTGCATGAACCTAGAAAATGTTTACCTTGAATGCATTTGCTTTAATATATAAATAAAAGCTTAAATCTAAATGATGTGCTTTTTAAAAATTATTATTATTCAAAGATTCATTAAATTAATCAGTGACAGGAAAGGCTTTTACATTGTTACAAAAAAAATTCTATTTCACAAATGCTGTTCTTTTGAACTCTATTCAAAGGATCATGGGAGCAAACAAAAAAAACTTTACAAATACATGTCTTCTGTAAGCATAAGAGACTTCTTTTAAAATAGTTAAAAAAATCTTACCGATCTGAAACTTGAATAGTATCTCTCTTCACGTATAACAATGCAAAAAAAAAAATGCTTATGAGTAGGTTTGTCAAATGCATTTAAGCGTGCTGATCTTCTGTGCTTTTGTAGGATGAAGCAGAGTTCTGAGGCCGATCGCCGGAGTCCAGAAGGAGAGAGGAGAAGTCCCAGCAGTGAGGATGAGAAAGAAGACAAAGAGAGCAGTGCAGAAATCACCAACCCAGAAGATTATAAAGAGATCTTTCAGCCGCACAGTGTCATCTGTGAGTTTTAGATGCACAAAATACAATAGGTTAGGCAATTTTCACACATGCTGCTTCACATGTGCCATGGTATATAATCTAGTTCTCTCTTTTTTTTTTTTTTTTCGGGGTCATTCCTGTTTTTCTTTTCCATCCTTTTCCATTCAGCACGTACTCCACCCAAAGGAACTGAACCCTTCCCAGCTCCCCTAGACCACTCTTTCTCAGAGAGTGTACTAGAGAAACCTGGCCCGGCAGTTAAGATTGCAACTCCAGTAATAGACAGGGTAGGTTTTCCATTTCTTAAATGTCTTTTGATAAATTCATAAGTGTAGGTTGTTATTTATGATGACTGTATTTTTAGGCAGGACAGTTGAAAGGTCCCATTACCTTCTCTACTCCAGTACAAAGAGTTGAACCAACTGTGATTGCTGCTTTTCCCCGTCCAGTAGCTGTGGTGACCACATCAGTGACCTCTCCCTCTCGTCCTGTGGTTACGGCCACCAAACCTAAACCTTCTACAGGAATCATCCTCTCGACACGTAACGAGCCAGTTGGCCTCACTGCAGGGGACTTCCTTTCTGTGAGTTCAATGGATGTCTAGCACTATTGTTCACTTAAGATGATTCACTTTTGTATTATGCTGCGTTAATGTCGTGTCTGAATTGCTATAATTATTAGATAGAGATTCTTTGAGCTGCTGGAGCTGTTCACGTCGTTTTGATAATTTTCTGTTTCTATGGTGATGTTCATGACCCTAAATTAATCCATGTGTGGTTTTGTTGTTGAAGCGAAATAGCAAAATATTTCATCACTCTCAATTCGTCTCATTAAAAAATACTAAAAAACAAAGTGTGCTAGGTTATACTGTGCATGTTTGTTATTATAGCCAGAGTCAGCTGTCACCAGTCCAGGGTGCTATTCATTTGTGCGTTAAGGTGCTTTCGCTCCGGAGGAACCTTTTCATAGTTCCTAGAACTATTGGCAGTAGTTCCCGCTTTTTGGCGTGTTCGCACCACAAGAACTAGGAATGTATTTAGTTCTAGCAACTCTATTTACAAGGTCAACTCTATTTTCTAGGTCTAAAACAGTTCTATAGGAACTACCAGTGACGTAAGTGTAGGCTGATTGGCCAAACGCATATGAAACACCAGCTGCCTGGCATTTTTTTAAAAAGCTGTGTAAAAATATTTACTCCACGAACATGGAAAACGCCGATAACGGCATTTACCCGTTGTCTGCTAAAGCAATAAGCCCCCAGAAGCCGTGGTTTACAGTGAATTTATAACGGCTAAGGGGCGTTTTTAGGCATGACGCGAAGCGGAGTATAACACAGCTGTTATAAATTCACTGTAAACCACGGCTTCACAGGCGTGTCGTGCCTAAAAACGCCCCTTAGATGTTATAAATTCATTATAAACCATGGCTTCACGGGGCTTATTGCTTTTATAAAACAGTGATTAAAAACACTGATAGTAAAACGGAGCAAATAAAGTGTAATGATATTAATAAAAACAGTGTTCTTCCACCAAACAATGTAGTTCCTCAGAAACAGTTGTGGTTGCAACAAAGTGGTTGCCAAGCAACACACAAAGTAAACAAAGGTGTATGTTTGTAGAGTAATTTACAACAGCTTTGAACGCAGCTCAACCAATCAGAATCAAGGGCCAGAACTATCCGTTTTATACATTTTCTCCGCATCGATATATTATGCAATTTGTCATAGGAGATTTAGTCAGATTTTCATGCTCTTTTACTCGTGTAAATTTCTGTTATCACGAAACCCACAACACGCAACAAAAGCAGCTCTGGTCACTGCGTTCTCCATTCACTGTTGTTGATGTTTGTAAATGCCGCGAATAAAGACGTCGTTGTCGGTCGCTTCAGAGTTCCTGCTACAGGTGGGAATGTAATCAGGAAAACGGCCCGAGGCAGAAATCGGTTCTCTAGGAACCACCATGCTGCCTAGTTCCTAGAACTATGCGGTGCGAAAGCAACTTTATTTAGCCCTAAAGAGACCATGTTAGTACCTTAAGGGATCATAATACTTAAAATGCACATTGGTTCCTTTTAAAAGGGTACTGTACTGACCGCTTGCGTACCAGTATGTAAAATGCTGAGTGATTCTGAGTAATGTGTCTGTTTTAACAGCATGCACGAAACGCCAAAGCCGGTGTGATGGGAGATGATGAGGCATTAGCACAGATCCGGAAAGGCCATGACACCATGTGCGTAATGCTGACCAGTCGATATAAAAACCTGGACACAGTACGCTCCGTCTGGGCCAGTGGAGATGTCAAGGTAAGTGCAACAGCACTCAAGCTGATGAGCTTTGATAAATTGTGGGACAGACAGATCGTAATGGGAGATCTGTTACTGGCTGATGGATACATTTACTGCTACACATCGAAAATGTATTTCTAATGTAATCTAGTAAATGCTGTAATGGGCTATTATTGAAAGCAGCAGTACACTAAAAGCAGTGTTTGCATTTCCCTTCATGTTGCCCAGACTTCGCTGGATTCGGCTGTATCTATGAATGATCTTTCTATTGTGGTGGACATCCTTAACATAATCAACCTCAAACCGTAAGCGTCCACACACACACACACATCACTTACTACTTCTGTCCCACCATCATTTTAGCAGAAGTTATAATAAGAGTTATTCTCTTTCAGATCACTGTGGAAATTGGACCTCTGCACATCCATCTTGCCACAGATTGAGGAATTGCTGCAGAGCAAATATGAAAGGTGACTTATTAATGGTTACGACCCGTCTATGTCTATAGTAATAATACCTTATTAGTTTTAAGTATTTGCTATTGACTGTTCAAATGCGGAGTTTTGCGCAGCGTGTGTGTGTGTGTGTGCGCGCGCACGCGTGTGTGTATGAGAGAGAGAGAGAGAGAGAGAGAGCGCTGTCAACATATTCTGTTACACCAAATACACAAAATAATGATCTTTAAAAAAGCATCATATGACCCCTTTGATTATCGGTATCAACTGATATGAAAAATAATTTTTTTTTTTCTTTTTTTTCGTGTTTTTGGATATATTGCCCAGCCCTACTCTGAAGGGTATTTTGACGGAGTGGAGTGTGATGCGTTTTAACACCTTTAGGACCATCGATTTTTAAATCTACAAATTGTATTTATATACATATGCACTTATAATTTTACATTAATTTGCTATAATTTTACTAAACCATTTTATTAAGCTGCTTTCTACTATTAAGACATTAAATGAAAATTGTTCCATCGCACATGGGTAAAATATTGGGTGTATTTTATTTCAATTTATGCTTCATGCTAACATCAGAATCAGGTGAGCGTTATGTCTCGGGAGCACTTGACTGGCTGTTAATGAGTTTCCTGCTTGGTGAGCTTTTCAGATCAGTTGCTTTAGAATCTATTTTGATCACTTTGGCGACAGTACATTTATGGAAATAAACGGTGCAAGGTTTTGAGATGGCCATTTATCAGTCATGTACAAATGCAGTGATCAAGTAACCCATTCTCCCTGTCCTTCTACAGTTATGTACAGACTGGTTGTATGGCTTTAAAACTGATTCTGAAGCGTTTCTGGCCATTAATCTCAGACACGTTGACTGCTCCTCCATCAGTAGGAGTGGACATTACTCGAGAGGAGAGGTTAGTACCTAACAAACACCCATGATGTGTGTTTTTTTTTTTTTTAAAGCCTGAGTCTCTGTGTTAGTTTACATTCCTTGACTACAGCACACAACAGTGGCTGTTTATCTAAACGAGAACATAAACCATGTATCAAAGTTTTATTCTGCGTTAAATGTGTGCTGGCTGATCTACTGATGACCCTAAGTTTAGTCAAATCTTAGTTATACTCTGCCCATGGCCAATAATGTGTTTAATTAAAATGTCACATTTTGCCTTTTAATGAGCCAATAGATGCAGATTAAGCAGTTTTGACCCTAAGTTTAGTCAAATCTTAGTTATACTCTGCCCATGGCCTGTTTAATGTTTAATTAAAATGTCACATTTTGCCTTTTAATGAGCCAATAGATGCAGATTAAGCAGTTTTTTTTTTTTTTTTTTTCTTTTTTCATGGGACTTGGTTTTTATGGGACTGTTGTACTGTGTTTTTCAGGCATCAGAAATGTAAAGCATGCTATAAGCAGCTGAAGAACCTCAGTAATGTAGTGAAGAACCGGGCAGAGCAGGTTGGTCGTCATGGCAGCACTTTCAAAGAGCTACAACTACTTATGGCCCCATTGGACTACTGAGACACACACACACTCGCGCGCGCGCGCGCGCACACACACACACTCCTCAATCTCCAAACGCGAAGCTCAGTCAAAGAGTCCATAATGAGGCAAAGTACTGAGCTTCATGACTGAACCTGAGTGGACTTTTCACTTCGCACTTAAATGTGTGCTCACACAAGCACACTTTGGAGTGAAGTATTTATGTAGGCTTCAGGTGGTTATTTTCCTAGTGGCTAAATTAGGATTTCTGTTTTCATTTCTTTGAAATGCACTACTTGTTTTTTGTAAACACTTGTCAACAATAAAGGAGAACTTTCATATGAAAGAAATTCCCAAAAATATTTAGTAGTCTAGTGACTTTTTTTTCTTCTTCCAAAGATTTACCATAGAAGTCAATCACTTATAACTGCAAAAACAACAGCGTAAATGTGGGGTCAAATTGCATGGGTGAAATCCAGTCTTTTAAATAGGAATCCATGTGATCAAGAGTTTTGTGAGGACAAAAGTTCTCTAAGCAGGTCTTGCTCCTTTTCAAATTTGCCACGTTGACCAACTGAAAATTGCTTGATCTGAAACGGACTTCTGTGCAAGTAGTGCTTCATGTGTTACTGCACTATTGAAATATTTTATGTGTTTGCATGAACACTGCAAATAACGCAACACATTTCTACACATAAGCCCATAATGTATTATTAGTAAGAACACAATGAAAAAGTAGTTAGAGACTCAAATGTATCAGTACCTTTTTTTTAAAGCAATTTTAAATTCCTTGCATGCTACTCTGAAAACTAAGTAAAGCCTTTTAGATGCTGCAGACATTTGAGGTCATGCTTGTAAAACTGAATACAGCCTGAGCAAAGAAAACCGATTTAAAGCAAATGTGTATATAGTTGCGTGTATTTTTAGAGCCCCCTGCACTGAAGGGGAATTCACGGTCTTAATTGGTGGATTACAGTATGGATTTAAACAAATTTTTCAAGGTGAAAAAGCAAGGTGAATGTTTTCAATCCAGTATGTACTATTAATTATAAAGAGGCTAACATATTCAGCTGTGTCAATGAGAACAACCTACTAATGCTGCACTTATTCAGCACATTTGTGTGGTATGATATTGGCAAAAAAAATCTACGATACTGACTTTGGGGTTTAAAAAAGAATGCATAAACAGACCTGTTTGCCTTAAGATAGAAAACAAGTGCAAGATACATCTAGACATGTTGTGAAGCATATTACATAATCTGAAGACAGCCTTCCGAATCGCCAAAGTTTGAAGTAAAGCACAAAGGCACTTGAAAATAATTCAGTTTCATATTCATTTGCTATAATCCTGTTCTGTGATGCTTTATGTGCAGAAACCTTTGCTTGGTCAACAGAGAAAATAATTGTTGAGTTTCATAATAAAAATGCAGAGACAATGTTTTAGTGCAGATAGTTGTTCATGTAATTTTTTTTAAACTCGTACACCTTTTATGGTCATTACACATAAGCTTAATAATACAGACATGGGTAGAAAAATATACCACAACATTCCTCTGTAAGCATGACATAATCTCCATCTGCAATTAACAATAATATATATTTTGAACAAAGTTAAGACTTGTAACATCACCTGTAAAAGCCTAAAGCATCGCTATGTTCTACATTCTGGAGAGAATAGACTTAAATGTCACTATGTACAAGGTGTAATGGTTGCTTAAGATATCACATATGTCTACGTACAATACAATAAAGCATCTCGCGGTAATATACAATTCCAGCATTATGAAAATGCCTCTTGGAGAGAACACTTAAATGGCATCACTTTGGCACTTTTACGGCAATGAATTATCTATAGAGAGGAATGATTATATAAACAATGACATCATTCTTATATCGTCCCATTTATATTGACACCAGCCTCAACATTCAAGCAATCAAGCGTTTCAGCGTATATTGCATTGCATTAAAATAATGTGCTTGGGAAGCCATTTACATGAAGGTTGATAATGGGTTTGGGTTTTGCCCTATGTGGGTCTCTTCAGTGTACTTGCATCCAGTAAACCGTCTTTGAAAAGCAGCAGAAAAACAAATCATTTTCCTCTATAAAGAGCATTTAGCTTTATTACATTACCAT